AAAAAAAAAAAAAAAAAAGAGAGGTGAGGGAACTGACAGCCTTTTTAGCGTGTAGTTGTTCTGGTAAAGTCTTATTGATTTCAGCTCCGATCTGTCTGCACATCAGACTGTTCTGGTTTTAGGCTTGGTTCTTGCCATAGATCTTATTTTGTGCTTTTTGTTTACAAGTTGCTTAGAACAGCAGGGTCTTGACCCTTGCAGATGACTCCTAAATGCTGTGCTGCAGGACCCCCCTCTGAAACAACAACAAAAGTGGGGCGGGCATGCCAAATAAAAAGAAGTTAAATCCAAATTGAATGAGTGCAAAATCTTCAAACAGAGCCTACTCAGAAATAACTGTAAAGACAGTTGTCATATTCCCAGGCAAAAAATAGAAGCAAATAAAAAAAATTCAAGGACAGCAGTAACAGAATGTGAAAAAAGCAGGTTAAAACTTTGGATGGAAACACGAGTGACTCTTCAGAGTACTTCATAGCTTCACCAAAGGGTCATAAACAATGAGAATTCCTTTCTATCTTAAGCAGACCCATGAGGAGTGCTTAGGCCAATCCTTTAAGGGAGTAATTCAGATGGCTAAAGGCATTGAATAATATTTTAATGTTTTATGATAATGGTTAGGACCTGAGCAAGGACAGTGCTCTGTGATACAAGTAATAGCACATGGCCGCTCAAAGTGGAGTAATTATTGATTGCTTCCAATGCTAGGAGAGTTGGCAACCCAATTTTTTCAAAAAGAAAATGGGATCTCTTCACTCTAGGAGGAAGATTTTGCAGTTTAAGGTAATGGTGAAAAAGAACATGCGACCAAAATGTACTTGCAGAAGTCTTGAAAGAAGTAAGCCGTTAGGGAAATTAGAAGTATGTTCATAAAGTGGCAGCTAAGTAAGGAAAGGAAGGTAAAGCTCAAATACATTGTCTCGTTCAATGTTGGATTATAGAAACTCCTGTAATGTGTTGAATGTTCTTTGAAAGCATAAAGGACCAATCTAAAGCACAAGAAGGAGCAAGGATTCTTGCTAAGTGTGGGGATTCAAATAGCAAGTGAATTTCCTGGAACTGGCTTTATCCTTCATCATAGGTGAAAGCAGCTCTGTGGGCCCTCCAAGGAGGCACCTCCGTAGTTATTGCAAATGGAACCCACCCAAAGATCTCGGGTCATGTCATCACCGATATTGTGGATGGGAAAAAAGTTGGCACGTTTTTTTCAGAAGTAAAACCTGCAGGTGAGTACAGAGTTGCAGAGACTTCTGAAAGGTTTGAATGAGTTAATTTGACTAGACCTGGCAAACAGCTGGGAAAGCATGCCCCACTTGACAAATGTCTCTTGAAAGGTATTTTATTTTCTACAGTTAGCATAGAAATGTTGGATCCTCTGCTGTTCCCTCTAGCTGATAAAAGTGTTGCATCAGACTTGCATTTAAATAACTGAGTACAATTTTTACCATTTTTTAGTCTTAGAGGTTTTAGTCTTAGCTGCTTTATACAGAAATTGTTCCAAAAATGTAGTCATCTTTGTCTCTCTCTTCTGAAACGTTTTATTCTCTTGTGGCCTCTTTGAGATGGGGGGAAAAATCAGAATTTCGCATAGCGTTCAAGATGGGTATGAACCTTGGATTTATAAGACTGGAGGACGAATTTTGAGTTTTGATTAATGGTGTCTTCTGTTCTGTTCTGTCCTCTAGGACTTTTCTAATAATTCTGAAAATTGTATTTGCTTTTTAATGCTGATGAGTTGATCTTTTCATAGAACTGTTTATTATAATACCACGGCCTGATTGTCCTTTTTCCCGATCTGCATCGCTTCCTGTTTATCTGCATTGACTTTCGCTTGCTGTTTTGTAGCCTGGTGATTTGACTGCAGAGGAAATTGATGCTTTTCAGTTAGTCCCTCTAATACATTTCTGTCAGCAGTGAAGGCTTTCGTCTTGTTTCCTCTTTCCCAATGGTTTATAAATAGGGCACCCAGCACATATCCCTATGGGATTTTACTAGCAATCTTCCTCTACTGTGGAGAGTGCTTGCTCCCACCCTTTCTTTGTCTTCTGTCTTCTAAAACAGACTTTGGAAATTGCAGTAACCTTTCTTGTAATCAACCCTGTGTCTTTGCATACAGGCAGATCACTTCCTTCAAAGAACACCAACAAATACTGTGCTTAGTCATGTGCCCAGTGTAGTTCCCAGTATAATTCGTGGCATGGACTTTGGAATGCTGCTCTGGCAGTTTTCTTGGGACCCTTCTTCAATAGAAGTAGAGTCATATTTGTCACCTTCCAGTCATCCATTCTGCAGGCAGTTCCGGGAGAGAGTTAAAAAAGACAACTTAGTGAGTTTATCCACTTCATAACTCTTGGGGGAAATGCTCTCTGAAGCCGGTGACTTGTTACTTCTATTTCAAAACCTGTTCTGTAGCATTTCCATTTGAGACAGGTCCTTTGAGGTCCTGCTGCAGAACGTTTTTTGTGTAGGAACCCTTCCAAAATGAACACAGGGAAGAACAGAGGGAAAGCAGTCTTTTTCCAAGCTATTACTTAGATTGGTTTTGTCTTCTGTTATTGTTTGTACACTGCCATGCCATTTTGCAATCGTTTCTGTTGTCCTCAGTTGAATGTTTAAGCTTTGTAAAGGATGCCTCCTTGTTTTCAGTAGCCTCCCACGCCCTGAGATTTAGCTATCTTTTGCCCTTTGTCATGTCCTCGTAATACCTGGTGTACAGGTATTTGTTTTTTGGCTCTGATGTGGTGACCTTACAGAATTCTGTATGATGTCCCTTTAAAAAGGGTAAGCTTGGCAACCATAGAAATGTTGTTGTATTTGTTACAGATCTTCCTGTTTTGGCGTACAGTTCATTTCTCGACTATGCCTTTTAGGACTCTATAGCAGCTTTCCTGCCCTGAGTAGAGAGCTGGAAGATGGGAGAGCTAGTCCTGACTTCCATATGTGCTGTAACTTTGTCTGCCTGGCATGTTTTTGGTGTGGTGTTTTTGTGTTGTGGGTTTTTCCGTGTTTTGAGGTTTGTTTGCTTTCTGCAGGCCCTACAGTGGAGCAGCAGGGTGAAATGGCTCGAGCTGGTGGCAGGACCCTGGCAGCTCTGCAGCCTGAACAGGTGACACAGAATGATACGATCTCATTTATTAAACTTGTGAATGTATGTTAAGATTTAAAACACAAACTTAATTCATGGGCCCCTTGGGACAAGAATCTCCTCTGTTGTGTGCCAGATCCATCATTTGGGCTGTAGCATGCTGCAAGAGAGTGGAAGAGCAGAAAAATGGTATGCTTCAGAGCTAGGAAGTAACGTGTATTTGCACATTGGGTTTATACAGCTGTAGGTATTTTAAGAGCATCTAATGTCACCTGGAAGTTATTTGTGATCAGAGATGCTGAAGAATTGACTGAGATAACTTGTCCCATTCACTCCTGCTTGTACAAGTACTTGCAAAAGAGGAATGTAGACAATTATTGTTTTGCAGCTGGGTAGGTAAAAGGAGACGTCTATTGTGAACAAGATAAGGTGGTTTTAAAGGAAGAACTTTTGGGGTTTAGTCAAGAAGATTGGGTGTGGGAAAACAAGATAATAAAAAGCAAGGCGCAGGTTGAATTACTGTGCAGCCTTTTTTTTTTTTTTTTTTTTTCAGGTGTGATGCAGGCTGGAAAAATCACCTGCCTCAAGTGTTCTGGGAATCCAGGCCAGTGGGAGGATGTGGTCAATGGAAATGAGCTAGAAGGGACCAGGAAACAAGCAGCTTGGATTTTGTGTAAGATCACAGTTCAGAAATTTTCTCTTTCAGAGAGCAGAGATTATCTATCGTCTTGCCGACTTACTAACTGATCAGAGAGAAGAAATTCTCTTGGCAAACAAAAAGGACTTAGAAGAGGCTGAAAATAAAGGTAATATTACAGGTCTTCCCATGGTAGCCCTTTTTTCATGAACCCATCTGAGCCTTTAAGGAAATGAGCAGAACTAGAACCTTCTGTCATTGGGTAGTATGGCTGTCACAGATTAGTGAACCCGGGACCCTGAGAACTGCTAACGTAAACAGCTGCAGCTTGCGTCGTCGTTACAGAAAACTAATGTCTGTGTGAGAGAAGATCCTGAGGCCTTGTAATACACTGAACAGTGCCTTGAAAAAACTTAGTCCCCCGTTTGGCTAGGAAGGCTCATTGTGGAAATGGAATATAACACATCATCTTTTTGTTATTGTCATGCACAAGGTGAGCGTTGGCTGGATTGGTGAAGATAATGTTTGGCTCCTGAGGGGACGATTATCATCTCTGTACTTAAACTGATGCTCTCCAAAAAGAGCAATAGCCCCTTCCT